ACACATACCATAGTATGACTTCTAAACTGGAGATAAATGACACATACCATAGTATGACTTCTAAACTGGAGATAAATGACACATGCTATAGTATGACTTCCAAACTGGTGTAAAATGACACACACTATAGTATGACTTCCAAACTGGTGAAAAATGACACATACTATAGTACGACTTCCAAACTGGTGATAAATAACAAACACTATAGTATGACTTCCAAACTGGTGATAAATAACACATACTATAGTATGACTTCCAAACTGGTGGAAAATGACACATGCTATAGAACGACTTCCAAACTGGTGGAAAATGACACACACTATAGTATGACTTCCAAACTGGTGGAAAATGACACATGCTATAGTACGACTTTCAAACTCAGTGTGGCCTACGAGTCTGAAAGTTTGCCCACCCCTGCACTAGACTGAGGAACAGAGTCTACCCTGAGGCTGTTAGACTCGCGAATCTCTAACCAGGAGAATCACTGTATGGAAAAAAAATCATTGTAATGTCACTTTAATTAGTGATATGTGCTGCTGATTTCATGCTGCTGACCTCATGTTGCTGTATTCATTCGTACCCATCTACTCACCGTAGACTCATGTTCAGGTTGCTGTTACACTGTATTGTTTTACATTATTAGTGTTTAATGTATATGTTAGATCCTTATTTACTGTTTCTTTTTACAATTTATATTTTTGGTATTTTTGGATGCAACTGGGACCTTGAGTACATAATTTCGTTCCACCTCATGTACCACATGTGATGCGAATGACAATAAAGAACTTGAACGTTTATGGTGAATAGTGGAGGATAGAAAATAGGACGACCAGTGCTCCACTTGTAAACCTGCTGTGGGTCTACATACAGCTGGATCTGATTAGCTTAGCTTCATGGTTGCTAACAGCTGTGCTAAACAAACAAGCCCCGCCCCACTCACTGATTTCTTAGATTCTTGGGGGTGGACAAAGATTAAAAATGTCCATCAATCATATTGTTATCAGTGATCGCCAAAACTTCCCTATCAATCGGGCTCCATCATCACAGCTAAACAACAGTGAACACAAAACATCTACAGTTCAGTTTTACAAATCTTAGGCTAAAATGTGAGTGGTGGTAGCTGAGAGTCATTCCTAACGTGTACTTTAAGTGTGACGTCTTGTGATCATCACATGGCTCCAGGCCTCTTCTCAAGACGGTTGTAAAGCGACGTGAGGCGGCGGGTGATATGCATTCATCAAGAAACGATGGATGAACTTTATTTCAGCCTCTTTCAGAGTTGGTGTCTGAGCCGGGACAGAACATCTCAACCCAAACGTTAACCTCACTGTAAAGTGTCAGGATGATGCTGATGCTGAGCAGAAGCAGCTACATGTTCCCCTGAAGGAGTTTCAAACTGATGGAAAAGATGAACTAAGTCTACGTTTGCACCAGCTCAGACTCTGGAAGTAAACATGACTCACTTTCTCCATCTCCATCGGTGTCGAACTCGTCGATCATGCTGCGCAGCTCCTCGTCGCTGATGTTCTCCTCAAGCTCTCGAGCGACCCGTCTCAGGTTCCTCAGGCTGATTTTTCCCGACTCGTCATCGTCAAACAGCTTGAAGGCCTTCACGATTTCTTCTTTCGGGTCTCGCTCCAGGATGCGATCCGTCACTGCGGGCGATCGTGAAACACGTTACAGAACCACAGAACCGCCTCGTGGACACGGAGGTGACGTGTGCGCACAACTCACCTACTTCTCTGAAGTCTTCGAACGTGATCCGGCCGCTTCCCTCCCGGTCGTAATCCTTCAGGATCTTTAGAACGTCCACTTTCTTCACTTCAAACCCGAGCGCGCGCATGGCCACCTGGTGACGTGTATAAGGAGAGCTTGAAAACTGGAAACAACCAGAAGCCGTCCTCCTGACACGCTCGGACTCATACAGCGATCAACAAGTTTTAATTATCTGCCACCTTAAAAACATCCTGAAGCTGCTACAACCAGCCCATCATTTAAGATTTAACGGTTAACGTTCATTGATCTGCCAGTTTCAGTACACGTTCCTCCAAGTGTTGATGAATTTACATCTAGTTTAGTTACACAAACGTTTTGCTAAATGAAAAATACATATTCCATGTCTCAAGAGCCAACGGGTTAGAGCGCCATGGTCCCGCCTTCAGCCACTGCCCGTGGCGTCATGCACCCGACTCGTCCCTCCTGCAGGTGGTGGGCCCACAGAGCAATATGTGCCGGTCCATTGCGGTGAAGAGGGAGCTGAGCTGTAAGACAAAGCTCTCTGTTTACTGGTCGGTCTACGTTCCTCCCCTCACCTCTGCTCATGAACTCTGGTAGAGACTGAAAGAATGAGATCGTGGATCCAGGAGGTTGACATGAGTTCCCTCTGCAGGAGCTGGACTCTCCCTTAGAGACAGGGGGAGAAGTTCAGTTATCAGGAGAGACTCTGAATAGAACCGCTGCTCCTCCACATCCAGAGGAGACAGTTGAGGTGGTTCAGCATCTGGTAAGGATGCTCCCTGGGCACCTCCCTAAGGAGGTGCTGTGGGTATCTCTGACAGGGAGGAGACCCCGGAGAAGACCCAGGACACACTGGAGAGACTACGTCTCTCTGATGGTCTGAGAACACCTTGAAGTCCTACCAGAAGAGCTGGAAGAGGTGGCTGGACCTCCTGGATGGATGGATGGATGATGGATGGATGGACGTACAATGGATGATGGATGGATTATGGATGAACGATGTATGGATGGACGGACGAACAGACAATGATGGATGGATTATGGATGAACGAACGATGTATGGATGGATGAATGAATGATGGATGGATTGACTAATGGACAATGGATGGATGGACAATGGATGGACGGATGGATTATGGATGGATGGATGATGGATGGATTATGGATGAATGATGTATGGATGGACGGATGATGGATGGACAATGGATGGATGGATGGACAATGGATGGATGGATGATGGATGAACGAACGATGTATGGATGGATGAA